TTACAAAAATAAAATAATAATTTTAAATTAAAAATAAATTTATCATAAATGTGAAAGATTAAAAACATATTTAATCTTATATTTTTTAAGAATATCGTCGTATTGTATAGTTTTTAACAAATAATATTAATTATAAAATTATTATTTTAATTTATTTATTTATTTTCTTTTTGGGCTGTTGATTGAGGTGTGTTGGAGGAGCGTGGCGTGGGGATTGAGAAGGGGAAGAGGAATTTCCGGCGCCGATGAGGAAGGTGGCACGTGCGAGAGGAGAGAATGATTCGGTGGGGCGGCGATGTTTTAGACACAAAGGGTCACACTTTCTCAATGTTCGCCACGTGTCCCTTGTAGTTCGCTTTTGAATTGGGTCTCTCTTCGTTGTTTCCCAACGTTCGTGCGAATAAAAGATTCTACAGCTTTTGCTGAATCATTCCTTGTGGCTGTACCATTAAATAATATAAAAAATATTTTTGTTTACAGTTGGATTATAAGGATTAATATAAATTAAACTTTTACTTAAAAGTTTTAAATTATATCATATCATTGTGTTCTTGTTTATTCACATGAAACAAAAGATGGATAAATTAATTATATGGATTATGAGCTAAATAGAATTCAATAATATATAATACTGAAACTCAATTCCAGGCTTTAAAAAATAATATGTATAATGTTTATTAATTAATAAGACGACACATTTAGAAAGCATGATATTAATCCTCTATTCATTTTAGAAGAAAAAAAATGAAATATAAGAGAAAATTTTGGAATTTGAATTAAAGAGAAAATAAAAAAGAAACAACATTTTTACAAGTCAACTTTTTCTCTTTCTTTTTTATTTTTCATTAAAAAATACATTAGTATTCACATTACTTTAATATTTTTCCCACATTCAAACATACTGTACCATCTTACCAAAAAAACAAACATACTGTACTATAAAAGAAAAAATATACTCCTATACTTGTGATATTAATTTCTTTCAAATATAATAACTTTTTACCAATATATAAATAGAATATAGTAAATTATTTGATAAAGTGAAATTGGTTATTAGCTCAATAATCAATCAACATGTTATGCATTTCTTTGATAATAATGAGAAAATAAAATAAGTCTATAATTTGAGAATTAATGCATTTTACTTATAAATAATGTAAATAAAAATAGAATAAGGTAAACATGTATAATATTATAATCAATAATTTGTTCATTTCTAACATATGTAAAGTGTGTAGGAGTAATAGAACCCATTCCTGTGTGCACACTGTAGTTTTTCATTGGTCGGTGTTAAAATGGAAGCAAACCCTTATTTTTAAAGAAAATATACAATAATTGTTTTGCTTTTTTTTTCATTTTAATTATTTATAAACTATTTTGGGAAGGTTGTCAGGTCATGTGTTTGTTTTGTTTGTAATTTTGCAGTGGATTTTGAATCCAAATTTGTTTTTATTCCTTTTTCAACTTTAATAGATTAATAATTTTGAATCCACTATTTGTGTTGTTGCAGAATCTACGTGAGGCTGTCACGTGCTGTACCGACATATCCCGAGCGCAGTTTCAAACGGCAATTGATAAAATCCTAAGTTATCTATAACCTTGCTATATCATAAGAAATACCATCTTTTATTCTATATAGTTGTTTAGGACTTTTATATCCTTAATTTATTATGAAAATTATACATTATGTGTGTACCGTGACGGTGAAATACCGATAGGATATCTTCGGTTACGGTAGCTTAGTCACCACCTCGGCCGGTTCGTAGCTGGACTAACACAAAGTATGCCATTCTCAGTTTTGATCCGACACCCCTCTCTTCTCCAGAATCCCCTCAGCCTACGACCGATAGGTGGCGTCCCAACCGTTTCCTTTATGACCGATACCACACTCGACCAATGCCCGATTGGACCTCTCGGAATGGGCCAAGCCGATTACGAGCCAATTTAGCCTTTATGTGTTTAAAATAATACTTTTAAAATAAGGACGGTTAAGGAAAATCCCGACAATCTCGGGGCCCATGAGGCCCGTAAACAAGAAACTATAAAGCCAAAAACCCTAGAGAGGAGAGGACAGATTACACTTTTGAATGCTCTGGCTTTGAGGTTTGACCTAGGCAGAAACCCTAGTCCACCCTTTGGCCGGAACATTTTGGCGCCCACCGTGGGGCTACGGTGAAACTTTTCCTACGCCCCAAGAAACACAAAAAAAAACCTACACCCTACCATGGCGAAAGGCGGCAATAACAACAACTCGCAACCACCAACCATGGAGGAGATGATGGCCATGATCAATGGCTTAAGGGAGAAGAAGATGCGGTCGAGGAAGAGAGAGGAGGCCAACCAACGTGAAAAACGAGGAGATCAGGAGGCGAGCGGATGAGATGCAGGCCAGGATAGAAGCCAGTACCAGAACGGTGGAGGATGATGTCATGTTGGAAGTCCCTAGGGATTTCCGGCCTTTCTCAGAAGCCATAGAGGCCGAGGCCATCCCCAGGGATCATCGGATACCGCAAGTTGAACCCTTTGACGGAACGCAGGATCCCAGTCAACATCTAACGGATTTCCGGGCTCAAATGCTGATATGTGGGGGAAGCATGGAAGTCCGTTGCAAGCTATTCATGGGGACACTCAAAAAGGAGGCTCTCGACTGGTTTAGCGGTCTGCCTGACCGATCCATCACCGACTTTGACGTTTTCAGTCGGCTCTTCATGGCACAGTTCGCCGCTACCAAGAAGAAGCTACCGATCACGTCGGACTTGTTCGATCTCAAACAGTAAAGGGAAGAGTCGTTGAAGGATTTTCTGCAACGATTCAATGAGGTCGCCTTGAGGATAGCATCCTTGGACGAGAGGATGGCTGTCATTGCATTCCAGAAGGGTCTGAGGTCTGGGGCTTTCGACGTCGCACTGGAAAGAGCGAATTGCCAGACGATGTCGGAAGTGAGAGCCTTCGCACTGAGTCACATTAAAACGGAGGAGGGGCAGATCAGCAAAAGAGCAGCAGAGAGCCGAGAAGCAGGGGGTAGCAATAAGGAGGGAAGCAAACATCTCCGACCGCGGTCGAATTGAAATAAGCGACGCGACCGCTACAACATGAAGGAGGGTGGTTACCGACAGGCCGATCATGGTGGTCGGGTAAGGGGCGAGTGGACATGCAGCAATGATGAAGAAAAGTTCACTCCGCTCAATGTTCCCAGGCGACAGATACTTCACGATGTCAACAACGCATCATTGTTTGAATTCCCTGCAGCAACAGAGCGTCAGTTGGGACCCTTTAAAACCGATTGGTGTGAGTTTCATAGAACCCACAGACACTCTACTGAAAATTGCTTCGTCCTAGGGAGGCAGATCGAGCGCTTGATCAAGGAAGGGCGACTGAAGCAGTTTGTGGCAAGGAAACAGGAAGGAGGTTCGTCAGATAGGCGACACAGGCGTGCACAAGAGGACACCCGCAGAAATGGGCGTAGAGAGAGAACACCTCCCAGAGACACGCCGACGAAGTTGACCGAAACCCACCAGCAACCCATCCACGGCGATTTCAATACCATCGCAGGGGGCTTCGCCGGCGGGGGAACTACCTCGGCAACCCGAAAGGGGTACACTCGGTCGGTGCTGACGGTGTCAGAATTCAGGCGACCATCTCAACCTGAGATTTCGTTCTTAGACTCGGATTACGAAGGAGTAGCCCCTCATGAGGACGACCCCATCATCGTATCGGCGATTGTCATGGGGTACAATGTGAAGCGTGTGTTGATTGACCAGGGAAGTTCCGCGGACATTTTATTCAGGGAAACCTTTGAGGGGATGAAAATACCTAACGACCGACTAATTCCTTATGCAGGGACTCTAGTGGGTTTTGCAGGAGACCAGGTCATCGCGAGGGGATACGCCGATCTAGAGATGACCTTTGGCCAGGGAGCTCACATGAAGACGGTGGTCGTTCAGTATTTGGTGGTCGATGCTCAGTCATCGTACAACATACTGATCGGCAGGCCGACTCTGAACAAGCTGGGAGCGATAGTGTCTACTTCCCATCTGAAGGTAAAGTACCCGTTGTCGAATGGTGCTGTGGGGGTTCTCAGGGTGGACCAAGAGGTTGCTCGGAAATGCTACGGGGATAGTTTAAAGGCGCAAAGGCGACTGTACACTAAGCGGGTAGAGAAGGAGGTCCATTCCGTCGAACTGGATCCTAGAATGGGTCAGTTCGACCACCGACCCGCCCCAGCAGAAGACGTCAAGGAAGTGGAGGTAATGGAAGGGAGAAACGTAAAGATAGGTACTTCTTTGACTCCCGAGGACGAAGAGAAATTGGTGAGGGTTCTAAAGGACAATGTGTCGGCATTCGCATGGCATTCCAGCGACATGCCTGGAATTGATCCAAACTTCTTGTGCCACAAGTTGGCCATAGACCCTAGCGCGAAGGCAGTAATCTAGAAAAGAAGGAAGTTTGGCGAGGAAAAACGAAGGGCTATCGCGGAAGAGACGCAGAAGTTA